TCTGTGCGCCTGGTGGAGCGGGCCCTGGGCTCCCCAACTAAGCAGCTGCTGCCCTGTGAGATGGCTTGCAATGAGAAGGTGCGTGCTGCCAGGATCAATGTGGCCCTGTCTGAGTCTGTTGCATGAGTTGATGAAGGAATGCTATGCCCACCTCTGAGTATGTCATTAGGCTCACTGGAGCAGCAGGGGAGATGGGTTACATAACAGGAATGTAGGCCTTCAACTCTGCTACCTTAGCGTCTTCTCCTAAGTCTGAAGCCTGGGGCCTCACGTCTCCTGGACCCCAGGAGATGTAGAGAGAGTGAAGCTTTGGGATGGCCAAGCCTGGGGCCTCTTGGAGTAGGCACACCCTGAGGCACAAGGAAGAAAGCCTGGACAGTCCTGAGCCCAAGGAGGTACTGGGTGAGGAGGCTTCTGCCATGGCATGGGGGTGGTGGGCAGTGATGCAGACGACTCTTGGTGAGGCCAAGGCTCACCAGGCACAAACACTAGGCACACATGGGAAGTGATGTCGTATGTATTCCAGGGGAGCCTCCTTGCTGCTGGTCCCAAGTTAGAGGGGAAGTTAGAAGTAAGGAAGGAAACTGCATTGCAGAGGAAGTTGGGGGTGGGGCAGAAACTGGAATGAGTCACAAGGAGGCAAGCATGAAATTGGTTCTCAAAGGGTGAAACACAGCAGTTGGCATCATCTGATAATCATCAGCTGACAGTCCTTGAAACTAAACGCCCAGCAGAATTGATTTTGTGGGTGCTCTTTCAGCATTTGCAGAGATGTAGAGACACTGGTTGTGAGCTTCAGGCAACCTTGGGTCTCTTCACCTGCCTGTCCTGTCTGCCCCTTTGTGGGCTTCTGTTTCCTATCACCTGAATAATAGTCACCATCATTGCAAATAAGCTCTCTGTAGCACTATTTTACTGAACAAAGTAGCAGCAAGTCTGTGTCTGTGAGACCAGGACTCGGTAGTCTCGTCCTTTAGGTTCTCATCTTGGCTATTGGCAACTTCCAAGCTTCCCGCCTTCTTTGAACCTCAGTTTCCCCTTGTTTACAGTGAGATGTTGAACTAGATGGTGACAAAAGTAATCATAGTTGTCATGTGTCACGTAGTGTCACGATTCTGTATTGGCATCCACAAGGTACAGGCACTGGCATTCCCCATTTAACAGTAAAACCAAAATACTTTAAAGAAATATTTTATTATTTTTATTTTATATATATACTAGTATATTACCTGCATGTATTTAAGTGCTCTCGTGTTGTGCAGTGCCCACAGAGGTCAGAAGATGGAGTTCGAGTCCCCTGGAACTGGAATTACAGGTGGCTGTTAGCTGCCATGTGGGTGCTGGGACTTGAACCCAGGTCCTCTGCAAGAGCAACCCATGCTCTTAACTGCATGAGCCGTCTCTCCAGCCCCGAAATCAAAATACTTATCCCCAGAATCAAACCTGTCTATCTTGCCATGTCCTCTGAGCCCTTTCCTTTGTGCCATATTACCCCATACTGGCTGCATCTTTCTCTGGGAGATGCTGCTCTGGGCACTTTGGCGACAGCAGGGACCTTGAGTGTGAATAGTGTGTGGGAATTCCTTTTGGAGTCTGACACTGAATCTTCCTTTGTCTACAGCTGGGCAAATCTGTGGTGGCCAAAATGAAAATCCCAGAAGGCACCATCCTCACCCTGGACATGCTCACTGTGAAGGTTGGGGAGCCCAAAGGCTATCCCCCTGAAGACATCTTCAACCTAGTGGGCAAGAAGGTGTTGGTCACTATTGAAGAAGATGAGACAGTCATGGAGGAATCGGTGGAAAATCACAGCAAGAAAATCAAGTCTTAAATAAAGTGCCACTCTAGATTCAGTTCATGCTACTACTGTCAGGTGTGTTGTGTGCAGTGGAGCAAGTGTTGACTTCTGGTCACCTGGCTTTGGCCCACCCCATCCCCACAGTAGCCATTTCTGGGCCAGCTAATTGGCCAAAAGAGCCAATGAAGCCATTTCTGTTTCAGAGTGGCCTGCCAGAGAGGGGAGACCCAGGGCAAATCCAGGAATTTCTGTGTGGTGCTGGCTGTCATCTTGAACCTTCCTGTTCTCACTCAACAAAGCAAGCTCCAATGATGTGAGGTCTCATTTCTTCACAGACAGTTGTTGTCCTTCCTCTCTTACACTCCTACCCTGGGCTGTGTGTCCAGAACACTAGATAGTGGTCACTTGGCATTAGATTCTGGCCAAGGCCCTGTGGGCAGAGACAAACTTGTGTGTGCAGAAGGGAGAGAACTCAGTTCTTCTGTCAACAGGACCTCCAGTGCCTGCTCTGTGTTAACCACTACCAGGAGCCCAGGGACTCAGCACTGAGCCAGTCCCTTCCTCATAGGACCTCCCCTGGGATGGGGGCAGGTGCACAGTAACCAATGAGACAGAGGGTCAGCAAGGCAACTGTTGGAAGGAGAATGTGCAGCCAGGTTTAAGAAAACAGGTCTGTGCCAGGAGATGACAGTGTGGGCATAGAGTTTGTAGGTTTTAAAATGGGAGGCGGATGCTGAAGTCAGGCCTACCATTTGCCAACAGAGTGTCATGTCACATATGACACCATCACAAACCCAGCCACAAAGATGTCCATTGTCTGACTTGAACAAGCAGCATGAACTTTTTATAGAGATCCAATGTCAGATTTCCCTGTATTCTTTTGAATCAATGCTGAGATCAATCATTTTATTCTTTTCAAGTGTCTTTCAACTTCTTTTTTTTAAAATTGCCTACATGTATTTATTTGTGTGTGTGTGTGTGTGTGTGTGTGTGTGTGTGTGTGTGTATGTATGTGTATGTGCGTGCATCACAGCTCAGGTGTGGAGGTCAGAGGACAACTTGTAGGAGTCGGTTCTCTCCTTCCACCATTTTGGTGCTAGGAGTCAAACTTGGGTCATCAGGCTCGGCAGTAAGTCTCCTTTACCAGCTCTCCTATCTCATAGAGCCATTCATTGTGTGTGTGTGTGTGTGCACACAGAGGCAGAGGAAGTCAGAGGTCCTGCTCTACCGCTCTGCACTCTATTCCTTTAGGCAGGATCTCTCAGTTGACAGCCATGCAGGTTCTCAGGATCCTCTTGTCTCCGCCCCAAGTATGCTACCATGCCTGACTTTTTATTGGGTGGGACCTGGTTTGAGCATCAAGCATTCTTACCCATTAAACCATTTCCCATTTCTCCAACTCCCCTTTCAAATTCTTTTTTTTTTTTTGGAAACAGGGTCTCTTTGTAGCCCCAGCTGACCTGGAACTTACTCTGTAGACCAAGCTGGCCTTGAACTCACAGAGATCACCTGCCTCTGCCCCCCGAGTGCTGCCACCACTCCTGACTCCATTTCAAATTCTTAATCTTCTGTTTATTTGACTTTACTATATCACTTTCCTTTTTTAAATTTAGTTTTTCGTGTATGAGTGTTTGTATGTATGTATGTGTATATGTGCACCATGTGTGTGCCTGGTGTTCTCAGGCTAGGAGGTATTAGATCCCCTGGAACTGGAATTACAGACAGCTGCAAGCTACCATGTGGGTGCTGGAAACTGAAGTCCTCTGCAAGAGTGCTTTTAACCACTAAGCCATCTTTCTAGCCCCTATATAACTCCTGTTATTTCAAAGTATAAATTCAAGGCTCTTTTCAATGCATAATTTGCCTCAGGAGTTTTTTTGTAAATACATAACTTCCCTCTCCTGAGGATCCTAGAATAACTTCTTGTGTGGTATGTGGGTGTCCCAGATTGTGCCTGTGTGAAAGGGAACTTACACATTGGCATGCGAAGAGCTTAAGTCTGAGTATCAATTTCTGGCTGGCATTCCCTCCTTTTCATTTCTCCCTGTAAGCAGATTTCAAACAGATTTTATGGTTGAGTTTTTGTTACTGTGGTTTTTTTTTCTCTCTCTCTTTTGTTTTTGTACAGGGGCTCACATAGCCCAGGTTAACCTGGAATTCACCATGTATCTGAAGACCTTGAACTTCTGATCCTCCTGCCTCCACTTCCCAAGCACTGAAATTACAGGTGTATACCACCACACTCAGTTTATGAGGCGCTAGGGATTGAAACCCAGGGCTTCCTATGTACTAAGCAAACACTTCCAACTGAGCTACCTCCCCATCCCTCTTTGGTTTTTGTTTCTGTCTTATTGAGACAGGGTCCTGTTATGCAGTCATAGCTGGCCTGATACTTGCTATGTAGACCAGACTGGCCTCCAACTCATAACAACCCATATATATAAAAGCAATACAGGTGACATGTGAACAGACATCCAGAACTTAGATGAAATATATGTGGTAGCAAAGGGATGTGCCCCAGGAACTGGATCTGGAGGAAGGGCCTGGGCCTGGGAGTATTGTATGTCACATATACAGGATCCAGGGGGTTATTTCCAGGGTCTGGACCCTGGAATGCCAAAAAGGCCCTGTAAATCTAGAGCTGAATTCCCCAGTGGCATGGGAATCGGTGCTGCTGAGCTTCAGAAGATCCCTGGGCTTCCCACCTTTTGAGCAGAGGCCTGCCATGTGTTAGGGAGGATGGAAGGCTACTGTCTAGACTTTACCTCTCGTCAGAGCAAAAGAAAGTGACATATGTGTTGGTAAATTACAGACTGCATGTAGCCAGGAGCATAGGGGGTTAAAGGTACCACCCACTTTACTAGGCTGCCCTAAGGGCTGAAGGATCCATCCGTACCTGGACACATCTCCAAGCCCATCTCCAGTTGGGAAACTCTGGTTTTGAAGACATGCCTAAGCATCTGCAGGTGGGCAGTGCAGGATTGAGCACATGGCACTTCCACACTGTTACCAGTCGTGGGAGCTTGAGGGAAATTGACTAGGGGAAAACCCCAGAAGCTATAGCTAGTTTAGCCTTGAATGGCTGAGGAACCATGTGCACAGGCTTGGGAAATGCCATAGCCTTTGAAGTGAATGTTTGGCAGGAGTGGTGCATGGGGAACAAGGGGACGGCTTGGACTGTGGAGTTAAAAAGAATTTCAGACAGCATACAACAAATTTTATTAAAGAAACATACATATACTCACACAGACCCTCCACTAGTGGAGAGGGGACTCAAACTGAAATCCAAAGCCCCTAGGAAGGCTTGAGCCTTTTAAGCATTATTGGTGGGTCCCCTTCCCTAATGTTGGATTGGTTAACTTGAAGACTGATAGGTTTACAGCTCCAAATGACAGTCCAGGTCTGGCCCTGGTCAAACCTAAACAGGTCTGGACTGGTCAGCTGGAAAGGGGGCCCTGTTGATTGGAGACCAGGCTTTGTCTCAGACCAAGAAGAAACTGAGTGTACCTGCCATCATTATCATCAGTGGTCCTTCCCCTGCCTGTCAGAAATATGGCTAGTGCCTCCTAGTCCCTATCATGAGGCCAATGTCATGTGAGATAGAATTATAGGCAGAAGAAATGACACCATAGGGAAAGGAGAGCCCCTGAAATCTCTAAAAGCTGTGGGCCACATGGCTTCTATGGTGCTAAAGGATGACCACAAATGTGCCAAAAGCTCCATAATACCATTGTGAATGGGAACAGCTGGGAGTTGGGTTGCTTCCATGAATGTTAGAACTTAGGGGCCAGCAAAATAGCTCAGCAGGTAAAGGCAATTGCAACCCTGACTGGATGACCTGAGTTCAATCCCTGGAACCCACATGGTAGAAAGAACTGACTCCCCAAGTTATCTTCTGATCGTCACATGCGCACATGGTACTTAAGGGGCCCACATACCCACAAGATAAAATATAACTTGTTATCTTCACTAGTGGCAAACTCCCCTCACTGGAAGATTTGACTGGGGACAGCTGGCTTTTGCAAGAAAGCTGTGAAGGGGATGGGAGGGGAACCAGGTCTTATCTAGGCCTGGAAGCTATGCACCTACTGAAGCAACACAAACTCCCAATGAACACAGTTACAAGGGAGAATGTTCATATTAAACCACATATTAGAAAGTTATTTAAAAATATTTGTTAGGCTGGTTGTGGTGGTGCATACTTTAATCCCAGCACTCAGGAGGCAGAGGCAGCTGGATTTCAGTGAATTGAGGCTAGCCTAGTCTACAATAGTGATTTTCAGACCAGTTGGGTCTACAGAGACCCTATCTCAAAGACAAAAGCAAAAACATTTGCTGGGATGGTGTCAGCCAGCCATGAACTCAAAACTCCAAAACAAGTCAAAGTATCTGGCAGATCGCAGAGGCTGGCCCTGGGTGGTCTAGGAGAGAACACACTGGAGAGCAGCCCTTGCCTAGCCCAGTGATTTTTTTTTTTACTGTTTTGTAGGAACCCCTTGCATTCTGTAATAGTCCTTTGCAATCCCTGGCCCTGGTAACTAGAGATTTGAGACAGGTGTCCTCCATTTCCCTCAGGGCTGGTCTTCACTAAGCTTGTTTCTTATTACCAAAGGGGGAACAAAACACCCCCAAACCAAACTGCTGGGGCTGGGATGTAGCTCAATGATAGAGCTTGTCATGTGCAAGGCCATGGGTTACAAAGGAAACAATTTGTGATTTACCTCATCAATGAATTTCTACAAAAGCATAAGATACTTAGTACTTTATGGACTTGGATCCCAAGGAGATGCACTGAGAGTAGCCACTACTCATTAGCTGGGTATCAGCTGTCCAACACTGATAGAGGAGACCTCCCTTAGAGATGCTAATAGATCCTAGTCTGATACACTATAGTTTTTAAGGCAATTTCCTAAGCTCTGACTCAGTTGAGCTTCCTGGCTCAACTTAGGGTCATTTACCCACATTTTACATATGGAGCCACCAACAGAAAGCCAGCCTGAGGCCACACAACTGGTCATGGGGTGAAACTAGCTTTCTGGCTAGCACAGGCCTTGCCCAGAACCAGCCCTCCTACTTTATAGTCTACCGGCTTTCTCTGTTGCACGAATCCTAGACTCCAAACAAGCCTACCTTGGGTATAAGGTTTCATTTCAGAACCCCGTGAGAGTAATCCAGAAGTAGAATCAGCTCCTGGGTAAGCAGTGAAAAAAGCAACTGCGGCAGTAAGAGGTCCCCACAGTACAGTCTGGTGGACAGCACGGACCAATGCAGCTGTCACCTCAGGCAATCAACTCATTTGAGTCTCCATTCTGCCTCGTGCAGGTGGATTGTTTTACACCTCCAAGTGAGTATAGTTGGATGACTACATGTGACAGAGCCTGATACAATCATAAGAGCCACCATGGCTTGGCCCCTGCGTTGGCGGGTGTGGGAATCACTCCTGGTCTGTGTGATTGTATACCTGACATTTTTGTAAGAATATCCTGTCAGGATTAACCTTGGAGCCATTCTCAGCTTTCTCTTCACTCAGGATTCCTAGGGCATTAGTGCCTTAGATGTCTACCCAGCTCGGGTTTTTATTTGGTTAGAATGAGGCCCTCTGCTGCCTCATTTTTTACTTGGGATGCCCTCGTATTAAAGTGCTATTTAAAAGCCTAACACTATTGGCTTGGCAGTTTTCTAAGGTTCAAAATAGATAATACAGTCTTCTTATTTTTTTTTGGTCTTTTTGAGACAGGGTCTCTCTGTAGCCTCAGCTGTCCTGGAACTATGCAGACCAGGCTGGCCTTGGACTCTGGCTCCCGAGTGCTGGGCTTAAAGCTGTGCGCCACCAAGCCTGGCTAATAGTCTTTAAAACAGAAAGGGGATTGGGCTTTGGGTCTTCCTCACCTCTCAGGGCCTTTTGCCAAGCACCCAAGAAGATGCTGTAATGCAACCTGACTTCATAACCACCAGGGAACTGACCAGTAGCATGTTGAGTCTTCTGAACTGAATCGTGGATACCTGGAGCTCTCCCTCATAAAGGAACTAGTCTCTCCAAAGGAGGTGCTGCTCCTTTGACCCCCTTGATTTCTGTCACTTTGTTCTAGAAAACTGGCCTGGATTTGAGGGATGGGAGGAACAGGGATGACTGGAGCTATGCAGACCCTATTCAACCTTGGGTTGCTTAGCCAACAGTCATGAGCTGATTCTTTTCCAATACCTAATCTTAAGAGTCAAATCTCCCAGGTGGAAACCTGGGCCCAAACGGCTGGGCAGGGGCAAGTCAGACACTGGTGAGGTGGGGGTGGACAATCTAGGCTCAGGCCTAGCTGAGCTCTGAGTCACTAAGGGCATTTAAGACAGCTCTCTTGGAGCTATGGTCTCCCCAAATGTATGGCAGTGGGGTAGGATGATCTGTAAGGTCAGCCCATTCTGAGTAGCCAGTGGTCACTCATTCATTGCTTTTGTGTGTGTGGCTTGGAGAAGACTTCCTGATGCAGGTAAACCTGGGGGAAAGGCAGACAGGCCAAAGAGGCGGTTTTCCTATTTATTGGGGGCCCACCAAAGCTCAGAGGTGCAACTGTGGACTTGATTCTGGCTGGAACATCTCTGAAAAAGACCAACAGGAGCTTCGTGGAAGTCCTCAAAAGTCAAACTAGAAAAACCTGAAGCGAAGGGAAAGTGTGCTTCGTGTTTTGTTTTTGTACTGTCTGGGAAACTCCTTCTACTCCCAAAAGACCAAGAGAATTTACAGGTAGCTCACCCTGGTTTTAGGGTAGGAGATAAGGAGAAGGTACAGAGTAGGAAGGGAGGAATCCTTACAGAATCTCTGGAGGGAGGGGCAAGCTGAAGTTGCTGGGGAACAGGTGGATGAAAGGGGCCCCTGACATGAAGGGCCACTTTGGGGGGGCGATTCAGTCACACATGCTGTCGGGGGTGGGGGTGTTGTATGCGCTGCACGGCCGTGAAGGCTCTGCGTTCTGGCTAAGACCTCTCGCCCGTGGGGGTGTCCCTTTAAGGAACCTGCACTAAAGGCGGTGGCGTGTATGTACCTGGTCTGGAAAACTGATGAGAGGCATCCACCTTTCAAACTAGCACTGTGGCCCCCAGCTACGCCTGGGGACCGGCCCTCGGAAGCCTAGGGCAGCCGGGGGATGCTGATGGTCCCCTCCCAGAGCCGCAGCGCCGGGTAGAGCGGCTCCTGGAAGTTGGCGTGGAAGGTGTGCAGGTGGCGCATGCCCCCAGTCACGTCGTAAAAGGCCAGGACGCCCGCCTCGTAGTCCAGGAAGACGCCGAGTCGGCTGGGGTCGCGGCGAGGCCGCAGGCGGCTGCGCTGGCAGTCGTGGAAGGCCCAGTACTCTAGGTCGTAGCGCTTCACGCACCACGATTGCCGGTTGCAGCCCAGGCGGGCGGCGGCCGAGGCCCCGTGGCGCCGCAGGGACGGGTAGGCTGCGCCCACCCACCAGCCCGAGCCCGCCTCCTGCACGTCCACCTCCCAATAATGGCGGCCGGCCGCGAAACAGTCGCGGCCCAGCACCTGCCAGAGCGCGTCGAAGCGCGTCGCGGGCGGCGACCCCAGGCGGCCCAGGAACGCGCAGCGCACCGTCAGGCCGTCCGACGACAGTCGCAAGCGCGTATGCATGGTGTCGGGATCCAGCGAGGGCGTGCGCGCGTCTGCGGAGGAGGCGGAGACGTCAGTCACGACCCGAGGGCGGGGCCAGACGGACCACACCCCCCCACCCCCACCCGCGGGCACAGATGCGCACCACAGAACCCGGGGAGTAGCCAAAGGAGAGACGGAAAGCCTCCCTGTCTACCCCTGGGACGATGCCTCGGGCGGGGCGCGAGGGAAGGAGACAGTTTTACTATGCACCCTTTGTATGGCTTGAGTTTTGACCATGAAATTTACAGTCAATTAAAAAAAAAAAAAGAGTTAAGGAGCTGGAGAGATGGCTTAGCAGTTAAGAGTGCCTGCTGTTCACTTGTTTGTAGAGGACCTGGGTTCAGGTCCCAGCACTCACATGGCAGCTAAGAACTGTCTGTAACGGGACTTCTAGGGGATCAACCACCCTCTTTCACCTCCAAGGGTACTTGGCACACTGCAGTGCAAATACATACATAGAACATTTTAAATAAAATAAATCTTTAAGAAAAAAAAAGTTTAAAGTAATCCTATTTCTGGGTGTGGTGGCACAGGCAAATTCCAGCACTCGGGAGGCAAAGGCAGACTGAGATCTCTAAGTTTGAGGCCAACCTGTTCTACATAGCAAGTTCCAGGCCAGTCAGAGTTACACAGTGAGACCGTCTTAGAAAAAAGAAAAGGTAATCCTCTCACTGTGAAGACTCGAGTGTGCGGACTACTGACCTTTTTAGCCTTTAACTTGGCACTCTGTACTTTTTCCTATTATCATACCATGGTGTGCTCAGGGGAACTACTTTTAAAACTTACTGATATATTCATGAGCCACCCTTGAACAATATCCAGAGCATTTCAGTGGTGACCCTAGCCTATAGAGTTAGAAGTTGTTTGGAACAGTAGATTTCCTTAGAGGATAGCAAATGGGGAGCTTGGGGAAGGCTTCTAGAATTTTCAATTTCTTGGTCTGAAGGAGGTTCAGAAATGTTTTCTTTTACAGGAGTCAGCTTCACTCCTTTGTTATGTGTGTTTTTCTTTGCATTTTATTTTCAAAGGTTTGTTTTAAAAAATGTGTACTTGGGACTGGAGAGATGGCCCAGCAATTAGGAGCACTGGCTGCTTTTGCAGAGGACCTGGGTTTGGTTCCCAACACCCATATGGCAGCTAACAACTGTAACTCCAGTTCCAGGAAATCTGATGCCCTCTCTGGCCTCTGCAGGGATTGCACACTCATAGTGCACTTACAATACATGCAGGCAAAACACACAGGCTCCCCACCCTGTTACCCTCTCTCCACTTCCAGGTCTTACATTTCAAGAAGAGAGATCTCTCCGGTGAGAGACTGATTTTCAGCACAGTGCCTGGCTTGGTGCTGGGGAAGCCTGAGAGCTGGCATCTTATGTCTGTAAGGAATTTGAAATGTGAGACATGAGCACCTGGATCATGCAGGTAGCACAAACAAAACAAAAAAACAGCAAAAAACAAGACAAAAGTTGCTCCCCAAGAATTACATGCAAATTTAGGAAAATATGTAAATAAACAGGGAAAAAAATTCCAGCAGGACAGCAAGTCATTGGTGGCAGGCAGGTGAGAGCCTCAGCTTTCATACAGTGCTGAGCACTGAGGACTGAAGCAGAGTGGACCAGGAGGAAGGTGCTCAGCAAGAAGCCTAACTGGGGGCTGGAGAAATGGCCCAGTGATTAAGAACAGTGTATTGCTCTTGTAGAGGCCCTGAGTTCAGTTCCCAGCACCCACATCAGGTGACTCACAACCACCAGTAATCCCAGTTCCAAGGGATCTAGAGCTCTCTTCTCAGAGGCATATATACATATACACAATTTAAATAAATAAATAAATAACCCTAAAAAAAAAATCTAACTGATGGGAACTCTGAGCAGTGGATGTGATTCATGATAGAAGGGAACTTCCAAAGTCCTTCCACGGGGAGGATGAGACATTTTCTTGAATGGTGTAAGCACTGGCAAGTTGGCCGCACTCCTGTAAGCAACCAACTAAACTCATTGGTTAACACACACACACACACACACACACACACACACACACACACACGAAGGCATGAAAGTGGAAGGGGGAACCAGTTGGGAAGAGGAAGGGGATCAGCCTGAGGGAGAGGGGGACAGGAGAGGGTAATGGAGGGTGAATATGATTTAAAAATACATGAAAATGTCATATAAAACCCATTATTATTGTATAATAAAGCATTAAACTGTGTAATATTAATCTGTCACACAGAACCTGAGCTTGCAGAGAGGTCCAGTTCTCAGAAAGCGAAAAGGATGGGAGGCTGTCCCAGCAAGAGGGCTTCTTAGAAAGTGCCTCCCTGGGGCCTCTGCCTGCCCTTCCCTGGGTCTTGTCCACAGGGCCTAGTTCCCAGCCATCTAAAGGCGCCCCTCCTCCCTCCCCAGCACCCTCACATACTCATTCATCACCATAGCCTATGGATGATGGCGTAAAAGTAGGCAAAGGCCTCATCCCCCTACCCAGAACTCTAGCATCATCCACGCTATTACCTGTGTGAGATCTGCACAAGGAAGCTCACACTTCTCACACCCAGCAGGTGCAAACACTCTCTTCCCCATACACAAGGTGCCATCTCCCTTTTCAGAAAACTTCCTTCTCTTTTTCATGCTCAAACCCTTGAGCCTCCTGACCTACCCACACCCCCCCACCAGCCCTCCTTGTCCTTCTCCACTCCATATCCATTCCTCTGAAGTACCTCCTTTAGTGCTTCTTCAGCATGCCAAGCTCACTTCCACCTCACCCCCAGGACCTTTGCACTTGGCTTTTTCCTTTGCCTGAACACATTTCACTGCACAGCCCAGCAACAATGACAACAGTGAACTCTTAGATGGCACTCATTATGCCTGAACCTATAGGTCCAAGAACTCATTTACTTCTTATGGCAGCCTCACCAGAGGGAACTCCATCACAAAGATGTGAAAACAGGTCTGTAAAATCAGGCGCATTGCCCTAGGTAACAACGCAGGTTCCAGAGCTAGGGTCCCTCCCTAGACACATTTGCTGTCTGTCTAACCCCTAGAGGGCTGTGAGCACTGCAGAAGCACTAGCTTTGTTTTGTGCCTCTGTGCCTGGCACATAATGGGTGCAGTCAGTGTTCAGAGTGACTCATCACGACGGAGGTGAGCAAATGAAGGAATGAGCGACAGGGATTTCTGAGTACCTGGTTTGTGTCCGACCCTTTGTGCACCTTAGAGCTGGACCCCAAGTGGTTACTGCCCTCCAGGCATGTATGAGGGCTGAGGAGGGACCAATGGGTCCATCTTGTGAAGCCCCAGGCAGGTCACAGAGAAGGGTCCTGGAGGCGGTAAGGCAGAGGGGAGGGGAGGGAGAGGAGAGAGCCAGAGTCATCTAGGAAGGCTTTCCTGGTGTGGTCACATCCTGAAAGTGACATAGGCAGACGATGGAGGTTGGAGAGAGGCAGGCAGGACACCAGCTCAGGAAGCATAGGAGATGACATCGAAAATTGTTAAGCTGGAGAGATGGCTCAGTGGTTATCTCAGTGGTTAAGAGCACCAGCTGCTCTTGCAGAGCACCTGGGTTTGGTGCCTAACACCCACATTGCAGCTAACAACCATCTGTAACTCCAGTTCCAGGGGATCTGACACCCTCTTTTGGCTTCTGCAGGCCTCAGGCACACATGTGATACACTTGCATACATACAGGCAAAACACACACATAAAATTAAAATAAAAACTATTTTTTTTTGTCTTTTTGAGGTAGGGTCTCCCTGTAGCCCCAGCTGGCCTGGAACTCACTATGTAGACCAGGCTGGCCTTGAACTCATAGAGATCTGCTTGCCTCTGCCTCCCGAGTGCTGGGACTAAAGGCATATGCCACCATGCCTGGCAAAATAAAATCTTTTAAAAAATTGTTGAGGGTCAGGGAGGTGGCTTAGTAGGCAAAGGCACTTGCTGCTAAGACTGATGACCTGAGTTCAGTTACACACACATACACACACACACACACACACACAAACGTAATAAAAAAATTTTGTTAGGGGTAGGTGGGTTGGAGTGAGGCATGGTGGCAAACACCTGTTATCTACTCAGGAGACTGAGGCAGAAGACTTGAAAGGTCAGGGTCAGCCTGAATAACTTAATTGAGACTGTCTCAAAATAAAAAGACATCTGGGCATGTATCTAAGAAGCAGAGCACTTGCCTAGCATGCTTGACGCCCTAGGATCCATATCCAGTACTAGGGGAAAAAAAATGGATTAGGTCCTGCATCTCCTAACCACCCAGCAAATGGCATTGTGTGGGAAACACTTAAGATACCAACCTTTGGAGCCAGGCAGGGCACAGACCTTTAAATCCTGTAATCTCAGCACTTGGAAGGCAGAGGCAGGTGGATCTCTGTGAGATCAAGGCCAGCCAGGTCTACACAGGAAGTTCCGGGGCCAGCTACAGGGAGACCCTGTCTCAAAAAGACCAAAAAAAGACGCCAACCTTTGCTATCCCTGAGCTAAGGGGCTCTGGGTAACTGGAAGAAGGGTGTTTTGGTTAATCTTGTCAACTTAATGGAATTTAGAATCATCATGGAAACAAACCTCTGGGCAGATCTGTAGGACTTTCTATATGGGGAAGGTACATCTTAATTATGTGCAGTACCAGTCCATAGGCTAGGGTTCCAGACTGAATACAAAGGGGGAAATGAGCTGAGTGCCAGCATTCACCTCTCTCTGCTTCCTGACCACTGATACAATGTGACCAGCCACCTGTGGTTCCTGCCACCATGCCTTCCCTGTCATGCTAGAGTACACCCAGCTACTGTGAGCCAAAATAAATCCTTCCTTCCTTAAATTGCTTTTGCCAGGTATTTTGTCACAGCAGCAAGAAAAATAATTAACATAGGGAGTGAGGACTCAAAACTGGTCCTAGAGCAACTCACTGTCTTTCAGGCGAGTGTCCATTGGCGTCTGTAAGGCGTTCTGTATGGCTTCCACAAAGTCCTTGAAAAAGATTTTGACAGGCTCGAAGGACAGAGGCATAGGGTGGCCCAGCTCTGTGGAGCTCATCTGTTGCCCCATCTCTGGCTTGGTGGCTATATATGCCTGTGGGTGGGTGGGTGGGAGACACACGGTCAGGATAGTTCTGGGAGCCTGAGATGGAAGGCACATGGAATTGTTGGTTACCCCTTTCCCTTCCCTTCCCTTCCCTCCCCGACTCCTCTCTCCCGTCTTCCACGCTCAAACTCTTCTCCCCTCCCTCCCCTGCTCCCTGTTTTCTGTGTACACTGAGGCTACACTACAAGGGATGGAGGTAGGAATCACCGCCTGCCCTGCCCCCAGTTTGCCCCCCCGCCACTTCTTGGTTCTCCTGTGCACAGATGCTGTGAGAGTGGAGGGTCGGTCTACTGGGGAAGGAGACCATAGGGCTTGTCCATAGATGGCAGCTAGAACCCCTGTTCCAGGGGGGAAGCCAAGGCCCTAAGCAGGTTGAGTTGGACTGTGTCCTGCCCTTATTGCTTCTCCTGAGTCTTGTGGCTTTGCTAAGGAGAAGCCAAGATGCTGGGTGCAGGCGTATGATGAGACTCTCAAGCCAAGGCTGGGATTAGAAAGCAAGGGGAAGGCGGTGACTGCAGAGTTTAGTTCTTGGGGACAGTGGAGGTGGGGAGGTCCTGGGTCTGTGTCTTGCTCAGCAGAGATGTGGTGTGCCTGCACTGATACACAACCCAACTGTGGTCCAGACTTCAGTGCTATAGCCTGGTCTCCTCTCCCAACTCTGACCATCCTGGGGGACCCTGTCAGTGACCTAGTGCTTGGTCACAATATCCTTTCTTCCTTAAAATAGTTACAGTGGATTTGCAGTAAGAACTTTGCACTTCCTAAAGTGCTGTCCTGGTCAAGGAGCTGGAAGATGGCAGAACCCCAGGTGAACAGGCCTTGGTCAGTGGACAGAACTGCCCAAGCAGGGATGGGTGGGTAGGTGCCCCAGGAAGCAGAGAGGGTGGCCTGGCTCTCAGCTAAGGGCAGAGGTAGGTCCCTCCTGGCAGGATGCTGTATGTTGGGAGAGACTTGGTGAATGGCCTGCAAGCCCTACCCAGCCTAGAAACCAAAGGGTCTCTCATTCTTCTGGGAACCAGAGCTGAGGTCCCATTCAGAGGGCTGGAGTGGAGCTGACCAGGAAGTTAGAGCATTAGCAATTCCAGCTACTCTGGAGGTTGAAACAAAGATCCTAAGTGCAAGGTCTGCTGGGTTAGAGAGTGAGTTCAAGGCTAGCCTGGGCAACTTAATGAACCCTTGTCCCAAAATTTACAAAATAAGCCAGGAAAGATGATATATGCATGTAATCCCAGCAATGGAGATGTAAAGGCAGGTGGATTAGAAGTTCAAGGTCATCTTTGGCTACGGAGGAAGTGGGAAGCCAACTTAGCTACACTGGATACCAGGGTGGGTAAAAATCCTCAGCAGGTAGAGGGCCTTGCAGGCAGGCCTGTCAACCTCAGTTCAATACCTAGACACAAGGCGGCAGAAGAGAACCGACTCCTGAGAGCTGGCCTCTGATCGCCACATGCATGCCTTGGCACTTGTGTGCCTGAACACACAGAGACCCCACACACAGAGACCCCACACAGACACACACATACATACACACACAACACACAAATAATGCTTAGAATAAATGGTTCACATACAATTAAAATAAATAGCTGGTTGTGGTGGCATATGCCTTTACTCCCAGTACTCAGGAGGCAGAGGCAGGGGGATCTCTGTGAGTTCAAGTCCAGTCCAACCTACATAGCGAGCTCCAGTCCAGCCAGTGCTATATAGTAAAACTCTGTCTCAATAAATAAATAATAAATGAGAGAGGTAGCTCAGTAGGTAAAGTGCTTGCTGTAAGCTTGAGGATCTGAGTCCAGATCCCAGCATCTATGTAAAAGCTGGGGCATGGGACTGTAACCCCAACACGAGGGGTGGGAGTACAGTGTGGAGACAAAATAATAAGGTAGAGTGGTTGAGAAAGACACCAGTGTCGACCTTCATACAACCATGAGGGACGTGTGTACCTGCACACACAAGTTCGAATATATCACATACATGTACTCACATGTGAATGAAAATAAAGTAAAAGGGGATTGAGGATATGGTTTAGCATGTGTGAGGCTCTAGGTTCAAACCCAGTACACACACACACACACACACACACACACACACACACATACACACACACATATATATATGATAAAATGAGTAAATTAAATTAATGGAACAAACAAATTAAATAAATGAGTGAATTAAATAGATCACATCATCGGGTGCTGGAGAGATGGCTCAATGGTTAAGAGCACTGACTGCTCTTGCAGAGGACCTGGGTTCAATACCCAGTACCCACGTAGCAGCTAACAACCATCGGTAACTCTAGTTCTAGGGGATTCAATGCCCTCTTCTGACCTCCAAGAGCACCGCATGACATAGGTGCACTTACATACATGCAGGCAATACACTCACACACACAAAATAAAAATAAAATATAAAAAAATAGATCACATCTGCCTCCCACTTGTGCAGACTCAAGAGAACAGTCTCACATCACACATCTCTGCATCTCTCAAGCCAGAAGCCCAGGCACTATCTAGAATTTTCTCTACTTCTTCCCCACTTCCAGACCTCTCTGGCTGTATCTCTAAACCTGCCTGTTTCTTTCCCCAATGCCCCACTGAGGTCCAGATCACTATCATCTCTCTCTGGACACTGTGGTCCCTCCCGATATCCCATCCAGCCTTCATCCCTGACCTCCACAGTTTAGACCCTTTCCTGTGACCACAGGACCTTTGGATAGTATTGGCTTGACCCTGTCAAGGCTTTTGTTCCTCATTCAACACGTCCCTCCCCCAAATCTCTTTACAGGGCAAAATCTAGACTTGAGGGTGGGCACTGAAGGCCCTTTATTAGCTGACCCTGAACTCCTGACCCAGCTCTAGCCCTCCTACACCCCTGCCCCTCCTCAAGCCATCGGAGTCCCAGACGGTCAAGCCCTTAGGGTATCAGGAGTGCCTTTGTGCAGGGACAGCCTCTCTGCTCAGTGCCTCCATAGAAGCCCACTTGTTTCCCTACACCCAGCTGTACCATCAGCCCTAACTCTGTCTCCCTAGACAGAGCTTGAGCTAGCTTATAGATAACTGTTGAGCATATGGGGAGACCATTGTGAGCACCTTATCTCCAGCAGGGGGCCTGGCACTGTAGAGGGTCTTGATAGGACTGTAAATAAACAGAAGAAGGAAAGATGAGTGATTAATATCAGTAGTTGTGATCCAAGAGAGAAAGAGAAAAAGCACAAAGCACAGGAACTGTTTTAGGATGCCAGAATCTCTTCAGGAAGGAGGTGGAGGCAGGAGGATCCAGAGTTCAAGGTCATGCTTGGCAACATAGTGAGTTTGAGACCAATCTGGGCTCCATGAGGCCCTGTCTCAAAAATCAAAAGCAAAAGATTTGATTTGGGGAATTGACTCAGTAGGTAAAAGCTTGTGCCGAGCTCAGCGTGCAGAACTGAGTTCAAATCCCCAGAGCCTACCTAAAGCCAAACACAGTAGTCAGTAGCATCCATCTGCAGTACTGTTAGTGAGATGGGAGGTGGAGACACACACATAAAACAAATATTTTATTTTTTTGACAGGGTCTTCTTAGCCCCAGCCAGCCTAGAACTCAGTATGTAGACCAGGCTGGCCTCGATCTCACAGTGATTTGCCTGCCTCTGCCTTAGGAGTGCTGGGATTAAAGGTGTATGCCACCACACTCTGCATACATAATTTTTAAGACTATAAGCAGAGAGCCAGGTAAGGTAACTTGTGAGTCTTGAGTCAGATGTGGGTTCTGTTTTGTTTTGTTGAGACAGCGTTTAAATGGAACCCAGGCTGACCTTGAACTCTTGATTCTCCTGCCTCCATCTCCCAGGTGCTGGGATTACAAATGTATACCACCATTCCTGACCAGACTCAGGATCTGATCTTAACAGTGTATGAGTCCCAAGTGAATCCCTCTACTTCCCTGAGCACCACATCTTATTTCAGGCTGTATCCCAGATTCCTAGCAAATATTAGAGTTAAGATTAATAAAATGCTTGTACTGTGGAACCCTGGGAAATGATAGTTGGTAGCATTATTTATAGCTTAAGACACATGTTATCTGGGCCAGTGAGATGACTCTGATGGGTAAAGGCATCTCGGGCTAAGCCGGACAACCTGAGTTTAATCCCCAGGACCCACAAGGTAGAAAGAGAAAACTGACTCCACAGGTTGTCCTCTGAGCTTTACATTCCTGCCATGTTACACTCACACATGTGCACCTGAATAAATAAATGTAACAGATTTTAAAAGGATATATATTATTCTAACAGTGTGTGTATCCTCTGAAAGCCTTCACACTGATCAGGGAGATTTCTCTGCAGGTGTCTGGTGTGTAAATGCCATGTTCAATGCCACAGTAACTCAGGTGGATTTGTGGGTAGTGGGAGGTGGATGTAAGATCAGGAACCACAGCTGTACCTGTAGCAGCTGAACAGGGTTGGACTCCTGGCTGATGGCCCAAACCCTGTTGGACAGATCATCCACAGCTTCAATTTCCTTCCCACAAGACTCCACTTGTTCGCTGTAATCCTGGAGAGCAAGCTGTGTCTTCTTATCGATGAAGTTCTTGGCCAGTACTTCCTCTTCATCAAGGAGTAATCTGAGTTGTGTGAATTTCTCTCTCAGCCAGCCTTTACTTGCCTCTGCGTGAGCCTAAAAATAAGTCAATTGTAGACGATACGTTTGCCAACCAGGAAATACAGAATAAGTGACAAGAAAAACATCATAACACTTACAGAGTCCAGCAAAGTGGTCAACAAGATACAAAATGTAACTCATAAAAACTAAGGCTTTAGAGCTGGGCATGGTGGCACATGCCTTTAATCCCCATACTCCAGGGGGTGGGGGTGGGGCAAAGGCAGGTGAATCTGTGAGATGGAGGCCTTCCTGGTCTACATAGAGAGTTCTGAGTCAGCTGTGGCTAGAGGGAGACCCTGTCTAAAAAACCCCACAAGACAAAAAAACAAAACAAGTACTCACATCCCACTAGGAAATGTATGGAGAAATAGTTTTTTTGTTTTTGTTTTGTTTTGTTTTAAGACAGGGTCTCACTGTGTAGCCCTGCTAGTCTGGACCTCGCTGTGTAGACCAGACTAGCCTCAAATTCAGAGATCCATCTGTCTCTGCCTCCCAAATTCTGGGATTAAAGGGATGTGCCACCACATCCATTTTATATGGTTTTATAGTATACTGTTGTTTCGATGTTAAAAACTTCGAACGTTGCCAGGCATGGTAGCACCCCTTTGCTTGTTTTGTTTTTTGTTGTTTTTGAGACAGGCTCTCCCTATAGCCCCAGCTGGCCTGGATTCGCTATGGAGACCAGGCTGGCCTCGAACTCACAGAGATCCTCCTGCCTCTGCCTCCCGAGTGCTGGGATTAAAGGCGTGTGCCAGTACGCCCAGCTTTTTTTTTTTTTTTAAGACAAGGATATGCTTATGTAGCCCAGGCTGGTTTCAAACACTGATCCTCTTGTCACTGCCTGCCAAATAGTAGGATTATAGGCACTGTCACTATCCATGTCCCCGTGCACTTTTTTTCGTAGAACAGCTAGTGATTTGGGAAGAGATGGGAGATGAGTTTCTATGTGTATCTCCTATACAAGGCTTTAAGCAATGGCTAGCTTCTGAGACCAGCTCAGCCTATGGCCTTATTTGTAACATGGCTATAGACAGTCAGTGTACCTGCCTACCGGTGTACCTTTATTGAATGACCAAAGGAAGGGAGGAAAGTGTGTTCTGGTTCATTAGCCATGTCCCACTGAATGGGACTGATCTAGTCTGATCTCAGAAAGTAAGCAGGGTTGGGCCCAATTGATTTATGGATGGGAGAAAACTCTTGTTCCAAACCCCTGAGTGATAAACACGTATAGGAGGCCACAGAGTAAACCAGGCCTTTGAAAAGAGTGATAGCTCCTTCCAGCTGGGCTGGGTGCCTGCCAGTTCTGAAGATCCATTTTGTCATGAATATCCCAAAGAAGCTTAATGACACTGCACCCTGCTAGGGCTGTCAGTACAGGAGGAGCTGCTAAGAGTCCAGTAGAGAGGGTGCAAGCCCATAAGGAGGGTACAAAGTGTGTGGGGGGGTGCGGAGAAAGAGGGAAACAGGAAGAAGGAAAAGAGCATGAGGAGGAGAGGGAGGGAGGGGAGAGAAGAATGGAGGAAGGGAAAGAGGGGGAGGAGAGGGAGGCAGAGAGAAAGGAAAAGGGGGGGAGAGATTGAGATGTTGTCTGCCAGGTTGGGTCACATGGAGGGAAGCTGAAATCAGATCCCAGACTGAAGTGGCTGGGTTGGGAGCTGGGTTGGGCAGGGCAGGGCAGGGGGCTGGGTGAGCGCCCAATGAAGCTTGGTTGAGAAGAACCTAAGGATTATGGGAGAGAAAGAACCTGACCAGCCAGGAAACCGTGGTCAGGATGGGCAGGGATTTAGCAAAAGGGATGCTTTCTCCAGGTCCTGTGCAGGTGGGAGGGGCCTGTGAGAAGGCCTGGAGCTGCTTCCTGTACACTAGGCATGACTGGGTAACCCCCCTGTGGCCTCTGGTGGGCCCTGCTGCCAATGTGAGGTGGGCTCTCCAACCTTGACCACCTAGATCATTTTAGTTATAGTGGCCCTGGGCAGCAGGAGGGAGTGGAGAGGTAGCTGTGCCCAGCAGTGTGGTAGAGGCCAATGGCATGGTCAAGGTCGGCAGCACAACCTGTCCACACCCTCACCTCCCCATTTCCAGTCTGGCCAAGAATCTGATTATTGGAATTGGAAGGCAGGTCAGCCAGACTAGCCAAACCGGTGAATTTCAGGTTTAGTGAGAGAAAATAAGGGCTGAGGAAGATGCCTGAAGTTGACCTCTGGCCTCCACATGCACACAAATTCACACTCATCTGCACACACACAGACTATAAGGCCAGCCCGGGAAACATACGGTAGTAAAATCTCATCCTTAACCAAACCGAAATAACAAACCTCACTGCACGTTTGGAAGATTGGGAAAGAATAGCGTTGGCCTCTCATCATCTAGTACAAGTTTAAGAGGAAACCTGGGGCTGCAGGTGACTGTGGGGTCATCTGCCACCTGCATGCATTGACCTCCAAAGAAGCACGGTAGGAAAGCACACAGCCTAAATGGGTGTGGGTTGAGATTAAAGGCCACATCCTTAACTTTCCTATGGAAACCAGTGGTTGTCTAGGCTTCTCACTGGCTTCTGCACAAGAGACTTTGGATCATGTCTGACCTTTATTGATTTGCTTACAAAGCCTGCTCCATAAATCACTTTCCATGCTAATGGCCTTTCCCCAGTTTGGCCTGCAAGTCCAGAGCGTCATGGTTGCTCAGTCCTCTCTGCCACAAAATGACACCTGTTATAGTTCAACAGAATGCCTGTGCCTGCTGTAGGTGTGTCACTTCTAGGACTGTGTCCTGGAGGAAATAAATCAAGGTGCCAAAAATGGTCACTACTCTATTATTTTGTGTTAGGGAAAGACCCAGAAATTACCTAACCAACATTAGGAATATGGCTTGCTGAATCATGGTAGATGCATGTAATATAATATCTGTTATCTAGAACTGTCATTAGAGCTCTATATGGTGGTCAATGCCTGCTGTCTCAACTATTCATAAGGCTTGAGGCTGAGGCAGGAGGGTCATTTGAACCCAGAATTCGGAGGCCAGCCTCAGCGACATATCTAGACTTTGTCTAAAACAAACAAATAGCAACAAAAAACAAAACCTGACAGTTCACAAAAAATTCACAGGCCATTGGAACATACCTTGATCTCATCCCTAGGGAGGTAAAAGCAGGAAGAAAAGGAGTTCAAGGCCAACCTGAGCTATAGGAGACTCTATCTAAAAAACAAAGCAAAACAAATTTATAGGTGAGACCTGGTAGTTCAAGCCTGTAATCTCAGCTACTTGGGAGGTTGAGACAAGGTAAAGGCCTATCTGGGCTACAGAGGAAGTTCAAGGACAACTTTGGTAACTTAGCAAGATCTTGCCTTAAAGCAAAAAAATTTTAAAGACGCTGGGAATGTAACTCAGTGATAGAGTGTTTGCTTAGCATGTGAATCCTTGGCTTGAATCTCCAGAAACACACAAACACACACACACACACACAATTCACACAGAGGTGCTCAGTGACATGTAGCTTTGGTCAATAAAGGAGAAAGAGAGCTTGGATTGTGGCACTTGCCTAGCATGCATGAGGCCGTGTTGAATCCTGAGCTCTGCAAGATAAATAAATAAATGAATAAATAAATGAATAAGTAAATAAAAGTAAAGGAGCTGGCATGGAATATCCTGCTTCCTGTTTAGGCACATAAAAATGAACCAAGCTCAAAGCAAAAGGAAATTCTTGGGTATCAAAAACAAAGAAGGGATTCAGTGTCAGGGGCCAGGACAGGAGTTGAAACTGGTAACCCTGGCAGGGGTGGAACTGGACCTAGCCATCCAGTGGAGAGCTCAGGGCCACAAAATGCGGCTCCATCTGGAAACTAGGGAGCAGAAAGCTCCACTCACTGGCCTGTGAAAAGCCCAGGAACCTGGTCAACCACAGTGTTAGTGTTAACTGTCAACTTGACAGAATCTAGAATCACTTGGCTTGTAGGAGATTGTCTTGATTGTACTAATTGAGGTGGGCACACCTGCCCACTGTGGGTGGCACCATTCCCTGGCTGGGCTCCTGGCTGTGTGTGGAGAAAGGGAGCTGAGCAGCAGCATGTCTACATCATCTCTGCTTCCTCACTGTGAACGTGATGTGAGCAGCTGCTTCAGCGCCTGCTGCCTTCGCTTCCCTGCCATGAGGGATTATGGCCTTGAATGGTGAACCAAAATAAAACTTTTCTCCCTTAAGTTGCTTTTGTCAGGGCGTTTTGCCTCAGCAACAGGAAAAGTTAGACATCTACCTCGGGTCACCTGCAAAATAAACATACAAGCTGACACTGTGCAAGCTTGAAGTCCAAATTCAGGGAACTGCAAAATATAAACCCAGATGTGGAACTATTGACACTCAGAACATCTCTGTGCCCAAATATTGAAGTCTTGGTCCCCAGATGCTGTTTATATTTTGAGAAGTTCTGGAAACTTTAAGATATGGGCCCTAGGGGCTGGAGAGATGGGTTAGCGGTTAAAAACACTTGCTGTTCTTCCAGAGGACCTGGATTTGGTTCCCAGCACCTGCATGGCAGCTAAGAACTGCCTGTAACTCCAGTTCTAGGGGATCTGACACCCTCTTCTGGCCTCTGAGGGGCATTGTACGCATGTGGTGCACTTACAGGAGGCAAAATATTCACACACATAAAATAATAAAAAGATGTGGGGCTTAGCTAGAAGTGGGCCACTATGGGTGTGGGCTCAGGGGTTTTATCTTATTCCAGGCCTATCTTTTTGTCTCTGTCACTCCCTGTCCCCCTGCTGCCATGAGGTAAGAAGCCTCTGCCACAACCTCCTACAGACATGGTGTTCTGACACACACCCAGAATCAATAGAGCTGAGGTCTATAGACTGACACTTCTGAAACCATGAGCTAAAATTAAATCTTTCATACTTTTTTTTTTTTTTTTTTGGTCTTTTTGAGACAGGGTCTCCCTGTAGCCCCAGCTGTCCTGGAACTCACTATGTAGACCAGGCTGGCCTTGAACTCACAGAGATCCGCCTGCCTCTGCCTCCCGGGTGCTGGGATTAAAGGTGTGTGCCACCACGCCTGGCACTAGTTGGCAAATTTTAAAAAGGCATTTGATGGTGAACTTATACTCACCAGCATTTGGGAGGCAGAGACAGTAAGACTGTCACTAGGTTGAGGCCAATCTGGTCTACACACATATCAAGTTTCAGAACAGTCAGTGCTATGAGGTGCCACTCTGTCTCAAACAACAAACCCATTATAATATGAAAAGAACTACAACACTTCTGAAAGGATAAACCCTTTTAGAATTAGCTAAAAATGTGTTACACATTTGAATGATATATGTTGAATATGTTGAATGCTATAAACACTGATAAAACAGATATCTAAATAAACCAAGGCATATACCATGTTCATGGATTTGAAGACAACACAGAAGCGATATCAAATCTCCCTAAATTGAAACACAAATTTGACACAATTCCTATTAAAATCCTAACAAACTCTTATAGATATATATACAAGATCATTCTAAATTTAAAATGGAAAGTCAAAGGAACTGAAGAGCTGAAGCTTCAGTAGGTTTTTTTTGAGACAGGGTCTCCCTGTAGCCTTAGCTGGCCTGGAACTCATGTAGACCAGGCTGGCCTTGAACTCACAGGGATCTGCCCGCCTCTGCCTCCAGAGTGCTGGTATTACAGGCATGTACTACTATGCCCAGCTTGTCTCTGTCTCTTAAGTAGCTGAGACTACAGGTGTGTGCCACCAACACCAGGCTAAAATGTACAATGGGTGCACTTACATACATGCAGGCAAAACACTCATACACATAAAAATACAAATTAAAACATCAAAACCCACAAAAACCAAACCAAAACAAAAACCCAAACTGCAATGTATGTAGACCCAAGTTGACTTAGATCCTATCAGGTTCTGAGTTTTGGCATTGTAGGACAGGAAGTAACCTTTGGGGCAAACTGAGAGAAGAAACAGGATACTTGCAGCTTCCTGTGAATCTGTAATTATTTCAAAGTAAAAGTTTAGAAGTTGCTGAAACCTGCCCTGCACCTTACCTTTGACCCACCACACTGCTCCTAACTCTCTCTGGGGACCTCCAAACCATATCTGCTCACAGATCTACAGGCAGTGGACTTGTAGGCACAAGCTGGTCCTCACGCCGAGCAGCCATGCACCGCCCCATCTCTTGGCAAGAACTGTTTTTCAGCTTTCACTTGCCGACGTCGTTTTGAGCTGATTTATCTTCTTGAGCCCAGAGCCTTGCATTTTTTTAAAGTAATTTTTATTATTATTGTGTGTGTATGGATGATGAATGTGAACAATATATGCATGTTGTGTGGCGATCAGAGGACAACTTTTGGAAGGCAGTTCTCTCCTTCCAGGATCTGGGAATTGAACTCAGGTTGTCAGATTTGTGTGGCAAGTGTTTTCACACCAGGAGCCATCTTGCCAGCCCTTTTATGGTTTTCTTTGGGTAGTGGTAGGGGAATGGTCTTGCTATTTAGCCCCCTGGCTCTGGCCTAGAACTTGCTATATAGACAGACTGATCTCAAACTTGGGTTGACCCTCTTGCTTCCCAAGTGCTGGATCATAGGCAGACACCACCATGCCTGGCCATTCCTGTTCTTGAAGGTGTGAGAGACACTATTAATAATTAAGCTAGGGACACAGATGTGACCTGTAAAAGTCCAAAGAACAATGGAACGTGTTATCCTTACAGATAATGGATGTTAGGAAACAGGGAGTCAATTCCTGAATGTTAGCATGTAGTGGTTTCCAGCTCTACCCCAGCCCCGCACTGCTGAGGACCTGGCCTTCGGAAGTTACTGTGGTGACCAAAGCCAGTCTGCTTTCTGCCTTGTGTGGTCACCCAGGTTTACAGAGCCCTCTGTGGGACAGACCGAGGGTCTTCTACCCTAGTCTCCACTGAAAGGAGGGACTAGCTGAGGCCAAGAAGGGAAAGGGACTAGCATAGTTCATACGGAAGGTTCCTGAAGACAAAGCATTTCCAGTCAAAATGGTGACTCCCAGTGTCAGACCCAACTTTCTACTAAAAAAATCTCGGGAGAAGCTCGGTGTGGTGGCGCACGCTTTTAATCCCAGCACTTGGGAGGCAGAGGCAGGTCTCTGTGAGTTCAAGGCCAGCCTGGTCTACATAGTGAATGCCAGGACAGCTGTGGCTACAGGGAGATCCTGTCTCAAAAAGACAAAAAAAAAAAAAAGAAAAGAAAAATCTCAGGAGAATCTATTAGTCCAGGTGGGGTGGTAGTAATCCAGGCCCAACATCCTAGCAACTCAAGAAAGCTGAGACCCTGTCTCAATCAATCAATCAATCAATCAATCAATCAATCAATCAATCAATCATCAAACAATCATTCAGCTGGGCTTGGTAGCTAAGGCCTATAATCCCAACTATTCTGGAGGATCATAGATTGAAGGCCAGCCTGATCTAGAAAGAAAGATCGAGGCCAGTTTGATCAGTTTAATAAGATCCTGTCTCAAAATAAAAGTTTCCCATGTTCCTGTAAATAACCCATCACTCATGTTCCTTTAAGTAACCCTAATTAATTGGCACATACACACAAAGGAGGGCTAGTTAGGAAGAGGAAGGAAAACAGTGGGAGGGGGACAAGAGAGGGTAATGAGGAGGGAATAGGATCAAAATATATTATACACATGTATGAAAGTGTTATAACGAAGCCCACTATTATGTATAATTAGAATATGCTAATGAAAACTTTAAAGAAACTTTGCAGAAATTGATTTTAATGAAAAAGAAAAGGAGGACTGGAAAGATAGAGCTTAGAGGTAAAGCACTTGCCTAGCATGTAGGCATGTTCCTGGGTTCAATCCACAGTCCCACAACAAAAATAATGTATGGAAGAGGTGCATATTTATAGGTTATATTTATACTCATTTCTTTTATGGCAAGGAAAATCTTGAGAGTTGTTTGCCTGTTCTGTAAGCTGTTTTTCTTTGCCTAAGGCAATTGGGGTACAGGGAGGAAGATGGGGGACTGGTCCCTCTCAAAGAGAGATACAACTGATACAAGACTGGGACTTGACCCCCTAAGTCACAGAAACATCAAGTCTCACCCACTTGACATCTCCTTTGAGGTTAGTCTTTTTGTTTACCCCAGGCTTCACTCTAGGGGACACTTAGGTCCTGGGGGAAGTGTGGACATTTGCATCTGGGGAGGAAGCATCCACTTGCCTTCAGCCGTTCCCCGGCATCTTCTATCTGGGCTATGTTACCAGTGTGCTGCTGTTTCTTGATTGCCAGATGCTCTAAACAGTCTTGGATGAGTTTCTGTGAGGGCATTCGGGGAAAATGGAAACATAGTCACTTCTGAGATGACAAGCTCTTATCTTTGCTCACCTTTTTTTTCTTCCTTAATTACATTTTACCTATTATGTGTACAGGGGGTGAGGCACTCATACCATAGCATGCATGTGGAGGTCAGAGGACAACTTTCAGGTGTCCATTCTCTCCTTCTACCATTATGGGTTCTGAGGATTGAACTCGGGTGTTCAGGCTTTGGAACAGGCACCTCTAGTCACTGAGCCATCTCACCGGCTCACTCCTGAATTCTTCTTTTTCTTTTTTTAGTCTTTTTGACACAGGGTCTCCCTGTAGCCCCAGCTTGCTTGGAACTCACTATGTAGACCAGGCTGGCCTTGAACTCATAGAGATCCGTTTGCCTCTGCTTTTAAAGGTATGTGCCACTATACCTGGGCCTCCTGAATTCTTTAGTGTACACATACCTGAGGATCTGAAGGTAGGTGGTTTACCCAAAGTTATGTGGTTAGGTGGAGGGTGAACTAAGACTCCTCTTCTCTGAGCTTGAAGCCTTTATCTGGTATGCCTCTAGCTTGGATGTCTGTTTCCTACCTTCCATGTCTGCTTTTTCAAGTTGCTATTTTTTAAAATGCCTATTCTGGGTCTCCTACCCTCACAAGAGTGGCCACATGTCCTTCCTAGTCTTTCTTACTGCTGGCCTTACGCTTGGTACCTGGGCCTGATTCTTGTCTCCCCATAGGAACAGGGGTGGGTAGATATCCGGACTCTGAATCAAACTGGATTGCTAGGGCATGCCAATTTCAAGTGAAGAGCTAGAAGTCCCAAACAAGTTGGCAGGAGCCCCAGCCACAGAGTGAGAAGCAAGCTCAGTCTGAGCCCAGCTTTGCAGCCTGGCCTGTCTAAATCTCCATTTCCTTCACTGCAAACAGGGCTGCCATGAGACTGAATAAGACATACAGAGTGCATGGCCAACGTACATGCTCAGTACAGGCTACTTTCCAGTTTTACCTTCCAACAAGCATTTGCTACCATATGCACACTGAAAGAGTAAGCTGAGGCAGGAGACTGGTCATAAGCCAAGATAAGCTTTAGCCTCAGCTTCCAGAGCACAAGCTCACCCACGGTGATGCCTAAGTTCCTGCCTGTGGTGGCTCAAGGGCCCAGCAGGTACTTCTATCTTTGGACCTAGTGATACCCTACTTATCCTTTAAGGCCATGGTCGATGGTCCCTCCTCCAGGAAATCTTCCTTGGTTTCCTGCTCCTAGTTCTGTCTTTTCTCTGGCCCTCATTGAACATGGCCTTGGGCTCCCTGGTATGGTATTTACCACATGATATTGTTACTGTCTGTTCTCCCTGACCAGCCAGGTGACCCATCCAGGGGAGGACCTGACCCATGACTTCGTTTGGGGCACAAGGCACATACTAAAGAAGAGTTTGATGGATTCATGATAGGTGAATGGGTAGGTGAAAGAGTGGGGGTGTGTATGTGGACGCATTGGTAGGTAAATAGAAAGCTGAGGGAGACCTTTGGGTCATAGGTCTGGAAAGCAGCCGTGGAACTCCAAATAACAGCATATAAGGAGCTATTATTACTTATTATTATAGTCATTTTATGGGTATCAAAAAGGCAGGCTCTGCGGGCAGGGGCAGAACTGGAACCCAGGACTCCAAGAGCCAGATTGTCCTCCCACAGGCCTGATTTCAACTTGGAGTTGGGGGAGGGTAGAAAGGAAGGTATTATGGGGCAGAGTTCAGAAGACTTCTTGAAGACAGAAGTGGTATAATAGGATCTGTGGAGACAACAGGGTCTGGCGCTAGCTTGCCTTCCTGAAGTCCAGAGAGGAAGGATTTGACCAGAGTTGAACAAATCCAGTCAGGGTGGAGCAGAAGTCCATTTCAAGATGAGAAGCAGCTCTGAGGAGTCAGGTCTATCGGTGGGGTCCTCACTCTTGTTCCAGAGCCTTCCTTTTGTTATCTATAAATTGTTGTAGTAATAACAGCTAGCTGCTAGAGCGGGCAAGGGTGTGTTTGCATGGAGGGAGGAGCGGAGTTCAAGGTATGAGAGAGGGCAAGTCAACTGCAAGCCCTCCGTGGTCCCCAGCTCAGAATGGCTGTTTAGGAATTCCAGTGCCGATGTACACACGACCATTTTCTTTTTCTACAACACCCCTTCCCTTTTGGTCTTTTGAGACCGTCTTGCTATGTAGCATAGGCTAGCCTCGTTTGTGTTTATTACACCACAGGTCTTCTAACCCATAGCAGCGGCATGAAAGTCGGCCTGGTAGAAGAGGTCAAGGACATCTGGATAGCAGCCTGAGTTTCCAAGTCCCCAACCCTCTGTTCTAAAGCTTAGCTGGTGGCTTTGTCTCACCTTTACCCTTCCTTAAACCTCTGCCTTCTGATTTTGGGTTTACTATCTAGGGAACCTCAAGGCCGCCTTGGGTTTCCAGGTCCTAACTGGAAACCGGCAGTAAGACCTCAGGCTGGCGCTCCCTTCGACCGTTACTGGTGCTCAACTCCCGCCCCGCAAGACCCCCCCACCTGCGCGTGTCTCCGAGGTTCCCACCTGCACGCGCGCCGCCTCCTCCTGCGCCAGGCCCACTGGGTGGCCGCGGTGCGCACCCAGTACCGGGCACAGGGCGCACACGCAGCGGCCGCAGCGCAGACAGAAGAGCTCGGCCAGGCGTTCGCTGTGCTCCGGGCAGCGCCAGCCACGCGCCCCGTCGGGCTCTGAGTGGCCCGGTGCTCCCGGCGTCCAGCTAGCCATTCGTAGTGCCCACCGCTGCCCGTTCTGCAGTGCAGCCAGGCGGGGCTTCCTCGGGAATCGAAACCTTGCCCTGGGGCGGGGCGGGCCATCAAGCTCTGGGTGGGAAGCCGGCGGGGCATTGACCCGCTGGGGAGCCATGCTTGGTCCCGCCTAGCGCTGGATAGGCCGCACAGCTTCCTCCTAGCCACAGGGTGCTCTCTGCGCCCGCTCAGAACAGGAGGGGGCATCGCCGACGTGAGGACCAGCTCCTGATAGGCTAACACGGAGGAAGTGGGCTTCCCGCTTGGTGATGCTGGTCTAGGAGCTCTCAGCTGCGGCGCTGAGGGGAAGCGAACATGGGTGTGGCCTGCCCGAATGGGGTGCATTCCCTGCGCCCCGGTTTTGCGTTTTCTTCTAATGCCCCTTTCATGGGGATAGCCTTTGCCCGACTGGAACAGAATTCCAGAAAACCCCAGTTGGCCCCAGGTAAAAACTTGCAAGGCCCTGGGGCTCTGAAGATGCCCTGGTCCTTCTGGCCATGATGGGTGCTCCTATCACGGGTTGCGTGTTTCTAGCCTGGGGGTCTTGCAGTTAGTTCTGTGGGCTTGGAGCACTCTGCTGCCCACTGCTTCCTCCACTTCTCCCAGGGCAGCCCACACCGCCCCATCTTCTCATTCTCTCAATCACCACTGGAAAGGCTTTAGAAGTGTTAGGACCTTACCGGTCTGTTTCCCAGATGGGTGTGTGGTCCAAACCCAAAACCTGATACTAAATTGGGATTTGCAGAACCAAAATAAAAAGGAAAGCTCCATGTACTACAATATCGTGCCAGATGTTTTATTATTTTGGTTGATACAGGGTTTCACACTCTTTCCAGGCTGGTCTCAAATTCTATGTAGCCCAGGTTGGCTTGGAACTCTCAATCCTCCTGCCTCAGCCTTCCAAGTGCTGGGGTTCCAGGTGTGTTACCACTCCAGGGCTGATTATTATATTCTTTCCATTGCACAATTCTGTATTTATTTTCGCTTTTATTTCTTTTATTTTTTATTTATTTAATTTTTTTTTACAAAGGTATAAGGAATTTAAGAAACATTAAAACAATCATTCAAACTGTTTCAGGCACGGTTTCATATGAAAAGCATAGATCCATTTCTCACTTCCTGTTTCCCACGACCTCAAGTTTTGCTCCAGGAAGCAAAATTATTAGAGCTAAGTTGGGTACCAGCCAACAGCTCATCTCCCAGTGTTCTCAATACAGAGAGTTCCTGAGTACCAGAAAGGGAGTGCCCAGGATGTGGGATAAGGAGATGAAGACTACTCTGCCTCTTGCCTGGGCACTGCCAGTGTGGGAACTGCTGCTCCATCAGCTTAAGAACATAAAAATTAAAAAAAAAAAAGATGACTTAAAAAAATATCTGATAAAAATTACCTATCCCTCTCCCTTGCTATGAAATAATTTAAATAATTTATTCTAGATGTTAAAAAAAAATTTGTTCATAGCCTCCTGTGACCTGTTCCTCAGTGTGAGGTCCTAGTCTGGGTCCCTTAGGGTGAGGAGAACTTTAGTGGGGATGGTGTTCCACACAGAGCATGTTGGGAAGCTCTCTGGACTCCATCTCCACCAACAGCAGCCAGTGGCCTCCAGCAGGTTACCTTACTCTGAAGCTGTCTTCCGTTCCTAATGTGTGGCTGGAGGTGGAGGTGAGAGCTTTGTAAACTGTGAAGTGCTGGCCACAAATGAAAGAAGAAAAGCACCCTTTCCCAGGAGCTCCACTTCCCTGGCAATGGCTGGGACTTGACCTTTTGCTAAGGAGCACAATAAGGCAAGCTTGGTTGGCTCATCATCTGGGATGAGTCCTAGTCTAGTGACTGAAATGGAGAATAAATCAAGGAGCATGCGGCTCTGGTGTGTGGAGACAGGCGGTACGAACCATGTGGAGGGGCAGGATCGTGGGACCCTGGGACTAAGTCATAGATTCTTTGCCAATACAGGTAGAGAGGACTAGCCCAGGGGAGTCTCCATTCCCATTGTACTGGACAACTTGTACAGAGGGGCTTCAGTGGGGCCAGGATGAAGGATGTCCTCCAAAGGGATGTTAGCAGATAGCATGGTTTGAAATCTGATAGTCTGGGTGGCTCCTTTCCCACCCCCAGCCCCCAGCTCAAGTGGACCTGTGTGATGGGAAAAACACTGTCTGCCTGTTGCAGAGGGGCGCAGGCAGACAGTAAGTTTTGCCTTTCATCCTTCCCAGGTTCCAGCTGGGTTACTGAACTGGCTACTGAGAAAGGAAGAGCCTCAGGACAGGGCATAGGACACACAAGGGAGGGACATAGACTTTGAGACCAGAGCTTATCTGGTCCTACGTCCTCTCCTATTGCACCCATCCAGAGTCCATACTGGTGGGTGGTCACAGGGCTTTGCTATATCCAGTGCTGGGATTCCCCACCTCCCAGAGGGTGGACGAGGCAGGCTGTGATACACAGACAAGGACTCTGAGTTCTGTGTCCCTACCTAGGGACTTTCTACCTGTATCTAGCTGATTCTGGCTAGAAGGATAGGTTTGGCCTCCTGTCTGTGGTCTAGAATTGGGCCGAATCTTCACTCATTCCCCTCAGGCTAAGCCCCTGTGCCAATATAGGTTTCTGCAGCAAACCCAGGTTATCTCTCCACAGGCAGTGTCAATCAAGGTCAAGGTCTTTGGTGGCAAGTTGTAGACAAGGTAGCATTTTCGAGTATTCACCTACTGTTCAGATGGAAAAACAGACTAGAAAGCAAACTTGGCAAGAAGTCACTAAGTAAGTTGGTTCACAACTGAGGTATTCTCACTGTGGAGGCTGAGCACTGACATTAGTAGTAGACAGATCCAGGAGAAGCAGGACCTCAGTCAGCCCTGCCAGGAAACAAATCTCAATTTTCTCTCTCTGGGCCTCAGTTTCCCCACTGTTAGAATGAGGGAACTGGGCCAGATCAGTGGCTTTCAAAATGCTAGAAAATAATTTAGTAGCAAAAGTATATATTCCACAGTAGGTTAATAGAAGGGGGCACTGTTGGAATGACCACCTGCCAACCAAGATGTCCTCCCACTCTATGACCGTAATCTGCACACCACAGGCAGGTTGGCCTCTCTTGTCCTTCCAGCTCTTTCTACCATGCTCTTTCACCTTGAGAGATCACAGCTCCTCATGGACATTTAGAAACAGAAACTGCAGCTGGGAGAAGGCGAGGGGAAACGGCACTGAGGCCCACTGGAATCTTGTTCAGTGACTGAGCTTTGTTTTCTGATATAAAATATAGAAATAGTGGTTGTTCTTGGGGACCTGTGGTTTGGTTCTGGGCCTCCCCACAGAGCCTTGTGGTGTCCCTGAGGGCGAGGATGCAGAGACCTCTGCTCAGATCTGCCCTGAGCTCATCCGTAAGTTTTTGATCTCCAGTTCCAGCTGCTTGGCCTGGACCTCTCGCTGGGTCAGCAGCTCCCGGAGCCTTCGGATCTCCTCCTGTTGCCGGTAGAACATCTGCAGCAGCTGGGGGAGCACAGGCCAGAGGGCAAGGTCAGCTGGGTGGCCTGGGATGCTAGGCACCAGCACAAAGGCTAAGCCATGACCCCTTTTTGACACAGGTGGGAGTGATTAACAAGGGACAGCTGTTGCTCAGATCTTTCACAAAAGTCTTGCTTACTTTACTCAATAAATGAAATTCAAATGGATTTAAATGTTCACATCAAATTTTTCCTCCCTAGATCCCTGAGGGGTTAGAGCATGGGTACTTGGCCCCAAAGTCTGGAGACTGGGGTTTTTACCACCACTGGACTGTAGGACACTGGTTAATACTGTCAAGTTAATAGGATCTAAAATCACCTATGACACAAACTTCTGAGGACCTTCATGAGGAGATTTCTAGATTGGGTTAATTGAGGTGGGAGGACTCACTCTGACTGTGGGTGGCATCATCTCATGGACTGAAGTCCTGGACTGAATTAAAAGGAGAAAGAGCGAGCCCAGCATTCATCTCTCTCTGCTTCCTGACTTCAGATGCACTGTGACCACTGCCTCAAGTCACTGCCACCATGACTTCCTCACAAAGATGGGACTGTACCTGGAACTGTGAGCTCCAATAAATTTTCTTTTCCAACTGCTTTTGTCAGCTGGGCATGGCGGCTCATCCTTTTAGTCCTAGCACTTGGGAGGCAGAGGCAGGAGGATCTCTGTGAGACTGAGGTCAGCCTGGTCTACAGAGCAAGTTTCAGGCCAACTGGGGCTACAGCCTCAAAAATTGTTTTGTCAAGTATCTTGTCACAGAAACAAAAAAAGTAATTATGGTAAGCAGGTTACTTACCTGCTCTGAGATTCAATTTCTCCTTTGGAAAATGAAAACTCATCCCATTAATACCATAATTGTTACCTCTGTACAGAATAACCATCAGATGCCAGGCACCCCTTGAGGGTCTCTGTCATTTCTTTGAATGCCTGAGTCATTCTTGTCAGGGTGACAGTGTTAGTACCCCCACTTTCAATATGGAAATAGAAGCTTACAGATATGCAGCCCCGGATCTGAAGCCCCATAGTCAGCATAGGGTGGAACAGCCTCTGTCTACCAAGACACCAGCCTCCATGTTTCCCACTGTGAAGGGAATTTGGTCATGTAACATGTCAAAGTGTCTAGCTGTTATTGTTTGAACCTGAAATGTCCCCAGATTGTGGGGCTCTTTTGAAAGCTGTAGAGCTCATAGGAGGTAGAGCCTGGTTAATGGCAGATGACCGGGACAGGCGTTTTAAGGCTCTACAGGTCCTTGGTCCCTAGCCTGTTCTTTCTGCTTCCTGGTCTATGCCTTGGGAACACCAGCCACCCCATGTTCTTGCACCGTGCTTCCCTAGGTATGACTCAAATCTCTGAAATTGTGAACCCAAACAAACCTTTCTTTTCTGAAATATTTCTGTTCATGTTTTGGCCAAACCAATGCAAAAGTAACTAATATGCCAGCCTGGCACTCCGCAGGCACTTAATACATGCTGACTCTGAAAGTCATCAGAATTACAGAGTGCCAGCCCTGGAAGGGACATAACGGTATAAGGTCAGATCCCCTGCATTTCACGGATGACCCCCACCACCTATATGCACATCCACCATCTTGGCACATGGCCTCTTCTCAGAGCCCGTGTGGTGACTACATTAGCCAAATGAGTTAAGGCCAAGGCCAGGGTGCCTTAACCCAGCTGGCTGCACTTCTTGCCCTCCCACCCCACCAGCTTCTCTCTCGCCTCACCTCATTCTCTGTCTTTGGTGGGGGGCATTCAGAAACATCAAAGCCATTGGTTAGGCAGGACTTCTCCTCCAGCCGGTGGTCTGCGGCCCATCTCGGTGCCTTCCCCTCCATCGGAGAGCAGGGTGGCCGGCCATTGTCTACGGCCAGCTGTGCTGTGGGGTCCGAGGGCAGGAGCGAGGCTGAGGCCACAGAATTTGAGAGGGGTCTCTCTGGAGGCAATGTCTGGGAGTTCAGCAGTTCAGAGCCGGGTCTAAGGGACACCAGGATTGGATCTGGCGGGGGGTGGGGGTAGGGGAAAGCAGACGGTTGTGAGAGGGCTGAGCGACTCTGATGGGCATGAGGAGGGCACTGATACAGACAGGCACTAGAGACACGTCACAGGTCACTGCAGACAGGCATGGGCCTACTTCAGTTCAATCAGATACTGACAAGCACATCATATGTACGTGGAAGGGAAGCCAATGTTGGGGAACAGCACGGTTCATGCACTGGAGTTGCTTCCAGGTGCTTGAACTCCTCAAATGAAGTTTATTTTTGCTTAGAGTTGGCTTTTTTTCCACAGACATGTTCTTACTCTGTAGCTCTGGATGACTAAAACCTCACCATTTAGCCCTGACCCTCTGAAGTGTTAGAATTACAGGCCTGAGCGACCTTGCCCCAGCCTTGACCTTGGTTTATAAGGAGAGTCCCACCCACATTGCCCTCTGCCATCTACCAAGTTCATTAGTTCAGACCTCTCCAGGTGAAGACACAAAGGAAGAAATGGGGCATGGGCAGGGCCTGCCTGAGGGCAACACATAACCGGGAAGTGGCACTGTAGTAGCAGGCTTCCCATGCCCTGGGGGTGCATACAGTGGTGAATGCTGTGGGCTTACGGAGGGTGGGAGTATGAGTTGCCCTTCTGTTGACAGGAGGGGTCAGAGTAAAGTCAGGCAGTGGGCAGCGGATGGCTGGGCAGTGGGGCCATTGCCTTGAGACACTCAGGCCACAGACTAATCATAGAGGTGATAGTGCAGGTGGGTAAGGGCCCTGGCTGAGTCACTCAGGCACCCTACACAGTCACAATGGCAGCTTTTCTGTGGGATGATATCCCTTGACCAGGAGATCAGGGATCAGTTGGATGAAGCCCCTGCCTTTCCAGTGTTGTATGCAACCATTCAATCACTGGGCGCTGACTGGCAAGGACCCATCCTCTGAGATATTTTGCACAGCAAAATAAGAAATCAGATCAAACCCCTCGGCTACTGGGGGCCCTGGGACTCTATTCTCCTACCCTGGAGGCCTGCTCTATGCCTGTCTTACCTCTGTTCATCCCGCTGAGCCACTCCAGGGCCGTCAGGGAGGGCTGGGCCCCTGCAGTGGGTGGGTAGATGTCCTCTTGGTAGCATTCTGACTATAAGAGAAGTGGAGACAGTTAGGAGCAGCACTGGGCTGCTTGCTCCCAAAGGGTGGGAACTGGGAGTCCAGCTCCCCGATTCCCTACTGAATGACAAGGAGCCCAGGCCAGACAGTAAGAGCTTTCCAAGGATACAGCAGCTCAGGAGTAGTGGTGGGATGAGACCCAGCACTCCTGGCCCCATAGTTGTCACACTGACCTTGAGAAGAACTTTCCCTTGAAGGATCCTCCCTCAGCCTCCCTATGGTTCCCACAGCATGGGTTGGGGATCTGGGACCCTGACACCCAGGGTCTGTGTTCTTCAGAGTGGGTTGCCCACCTCCCCCATCCCCACAGTCACCTAAACACTTACCCTCCGGGGTACAATCATGGACACAGGCTCAATGAGACTCTTGGTTGTGATCAGCTTGTAGAAGCGGAAGATCTCACAGGAAGACACATCAAGACCTCTCTTTGGCATGATACCTGTGGACAGATGGCCAAGGTTAAGACTGTAAGGAGCCAGCATGTGTGGGACAAAGACAGGTCGCAGCACACCTGACTGTGAACAGAGACAGACCTCCCTCAGCTTCTTCTCTTAGCAAACAGTTCCTGACCAACATCTATGCTGGGCTGCCCTAGGCTGGGAAGATGAGTTGAGGTATTAATTATCAGAGCCTCTCTCTACCTTCAAAGTTCTAGTTATTGTAGCCAAACTCTGAAGGCAGTCACTCTGCTCAGAGGTTCCCTACTTCCATTCTCACATGCTGAGGGCCCAAATGCTTCTGTCTATTTATTTATTTATTTATTTATTTATTTATTTATTTATTTATTTATTTATTTATTTATTTGAGAAAGGATGTCTTGGTACCCAAGGCTGGCCTAGAACTTGCTATGCAGCAGAGAATGGCCTTGAACTTCTGATTCCCCTGCTTCTACCTTGAGAGCACTTGGATTACAGGTGTGTACCACAATGCCTGGCTCTATTTTTTGTTTGTTGGTTGGGGTCTTACTATATAGCCTTGGCTGGCCTAAAACTTGCTAGGTAGACCAGACTGGCCTAGAATTCATAGAAAATCCTCTGCATCTGCCTCCCAAGTACTGGGATTAAAGGCATGCACCTTAGGCCAAGACTTTTTAAAAAAGATTTTATTTTATTTATTTTTATTTTATGTGTATGAGTATTTTGCCTCCATGTATATAAGTGCACCCGTACATTCAGTGCCCACAGAGGCCAGAAGAGGCAACAGATTCCCTGGAACTGGAGTTATGGAGAGTTGTTAGCTGCCATGAAAACTGAACCTAGGTCCTCTGCAAGAGCAGTCAGTGCTTTTAACTGCTTAGCCATCTCTCCAGCCCCAGACTTTTTTTTTGATGTTTTGTTTTTTTGAGACAGGGTCTTACTATGTAGTCCTGGCTAGCCTAGAACTCGATGTACAGATCAGGCTGGCTTTGATCTGTCTGCCTCTGGCTCCCAAGTGCTGGGATTAAAGGTGTATGCTACCACATCAAGCTCTAGACTTATTATCAGTTTAATATGTTATTTATTATTTTTTATTTTATGTGTATGCGTGTATTGCCTGCATGTAGGTAAGTGTACCCGTGTTGTGCAATGCCCTTGGAAGACAGAAGAGGCTGTTGGATCCCCTGGAACTGGAGTTATGGACAGTTGTTAGCTGCCATGTGGATGCTGGGATTCAAACCCGGGTCTTCCACAAGAACAACCAATGTTTTTTCTATTTTTAATTTTTATTTTCTGTGTATGCGTGTATTGCCTGCATGTAGGTAAGTGCACCCATGTCGTGCGATGCTTGTGGAAGACAGAAGAGGCTGTCGGATCCCCTGGGACTGGAGTTACGGACAGTTGTTAGCTGCCATGTGGGTGCTGGGATTTGAACCCGGTCTTCTGCAAGAACAACCAGTGTTCTTAACCACTGAGCCATCTCTCCAGCCCATACTTATTATTTTTCAATATTTTATTTATTTATTTTTGTGTATGAGTGTATTGCCTGCATGAATATATGTGCATCCGTATGTGCACCTGTGTCATGCAATGCCTGTGGAGGTCAGAAGAGGGTGTTGGATCCCCTGGAACTGGAGTTATGGATAGTTGTTAGCCACCATGTGGGTGCTGGGAACCAAAAACAGTCAATGCTTTTAACCTCTGAGCCATCTCTCCAGTCCCCCAGATTTTTTTTTTTTTTGAGGCAGGATTTTTTGTTTGTTTATTTGTTTTTTTTTTGAGACAGTCTCTTCCTGTAGCCCCAGCTGGCCTGGAACTCCCTATGTAGACCAGACTGGCCTCAAACTCACAAAGATCTGCCTGTTGAGGCAGGATTTTGCCATATACTTCAGGTTGGTCTCAAATTCCTGATCCTCTTGCCTCAGCCTCCTGGTACTGAGATTACAGGAATGTGAGACCCAGCTTTCTTTTCCTTTTCTTTCCTTTGTTTGTTTGAGAGTAGGTCTCACATAGCCCAGCTTGACCTCAAACTTGTTATATAGCCAAGGATGACCCTGAACTCCTGATCCTCTAGCAAGTGCCTTGCACTGCCTTGGGACTCTGACAACACAAAGGACATGACCAGATGCAATCCCTTGGACACCCAGAGTCAAGAGCCCAACACACCTTGCTTGCTCTGATTTGTCTGGTCTGTGGTGCTGTTATTAACAACAAGAAATAGATGGATACAGGTAGTGCCTGATGCCATCCCCCTCCTGTCTGAAGTCTTGCTGTACTAAGACCCAGCCCTGTGGCCCTGATGGTGCATGGCTGTGGAGCCCCACTCACCGATCCCCTTCTGTGGGTTGTAGGAGCGGTACTCAGTCAGGTAGCTCAGGTGAGGCTTATCAGCGTTTACCTGGTAGTAGCGAATGTTTCCGTCTCCCTGGGGAGGGGAACAAAGAGTGTCAAAGCTGGGCCATTATGGATGCACAGGCCCCCATGGCCAAGCAGGAAGACTGATTTTCAAGTAGACAGCTGACTAACCTATCTCATACAAGGTCACCAGGGAGCTTGGGCCTTGCCTATCACTAGCTAAGTCCCGGATCTACAACCCCAGCTCATCTGTTCCCCTATGGCAGAGGCCCTGGAGTACTTCCACGTGACAGCCCCTGAGGAAGTCAGGATGGCTGGCCTCAGAGACCAACCCATGGGTCTTAGCTCTGGAGACATTTCCAGTGGTTACAGTCACTTGGAGGTGTTGTTCCTGGCATGCTAGGTAGGTGACATAGGTTCCAGATGTGGGCTAGCCCCTCCCAAGACATGTACGGTCTCAAATTCAAAGACCCTCCAGTTGAGAAACATTGTGTGGGCCTAGAGTTTAAGAGGGACAAACTTCAGGGGAGGGGGTCACACCATAGTTTTGGCTTAAGGTAATCCATGGGCGACAAGAAGGTGAGGGCAGGTGTTCTCCACTAGTGCCTGTTCCCAGCCTGCACCTCCAAGGGCCCTAGGCTGTCTTCTGGTCACACATGGTGCTGAGCTGGCTATTTCTGCCTCTAGCCTCAGGGTCCAGGTAGCTGCCTTCCTCCAGTGCCAGGCTGACCTTTCCCACAATGTAGAGCATGTTGGTGTCCGAGTCGTAGAAGGGAAACAACACACCCGAGGAGCCATCCAGGTCCTCCTCTGTGAGAGGCACAGAGAGGTTTTCCTGCAAGGAAAGAAAGATCATCAGGACCCGAGGGTTGCTCCTGGGAACCCTCAGTGGTGCTCAGATTTGAGTTGCTGCTGTGGGCTATGGGTATGTCTATGTGTGAGTGCATGCTTGTGTGTGAAACACAGAGAGCTTGATTTTCTGTGTTATGTGTATGCCATGTGGGAAGACGCTCTGGTCATCAAGGTCCAATTTGTGGGGTTATTTTATGGTGGAAATGATATATTTTTTCTTTTTTAAATTTTATTATTTTTATGTGCGAGTATATTGCCTGCATGCCTGTAAGTGCACCCGTGTTGTGCAGTATGTGAAGAGGATGGATACCCTGGAACTGGAGTTATTAGCCGCCATGTGGGTGCTGGGATTTGAACCTGAGGAGCCATATACCCAGCCCTGGAAATTATATATATATATATTTTTTATAAGTTTTTATTTTATTTTATTTGTATTCGTGTATTCCTTGTGTGTAGGTAAGTACACCCATGTCCTGCAATACCCTCAGAGGACAGAAGAGCTGTCAGATCTCCTGGAACTGGAGTTACAGACAGTTGTTAGCTGCCAGGTGGGTGCTGGGGTTCGAACCCAGATCTTCTGTAAGAACAACCAGTGTTCTTAACCACTGAGCCATCTCTCCAGCCCCCTGGAAATGATATTTAAAGGCACTCCTTCTTCCTCTCCTTGCTGCCCCATTTTGCCAGCATTTT